CTGTTCAGTGCCTCGGCTCTGATCCTGTCCAGCTCCTGGGTGAGAGCCAGACAGCTTTCCTCTGAGCCAACCGCCCTCTCCTCCGCGGCAGAAAGCCGCCGCGTCTGCTCGGTGATCCTCCCTCAGCATCGGCAAGGGCAGCACTTAGCTTTTCAGCGCCAACCTTAGCCGACTCGGCATCCTTGAGGAGTTGTTCAATTTGAGCAGCCTGCCCCGCCAGGGTAGAATCCCTGGCAGCTACGTCCTCCATTGCTCGGGCGAGGGCCCCCTCCGCCTCTTCCTTCTGCTCTCGGACCCGCTGGAGGTCCATCCTAGACCCATGGTACCGCGCAGCTATTATGGAGATCTGCTGGGTAGCCTGCAAAGGAGGGAAAAAGGTGTGTCACAAAAATGGAAAGCGAGAGAGAAGAAACCAAAGCAAAAATGAACTTACCACCAGGGAATTCTGGATGATAGAGCGGAACAGTACGTTCGTTGATCGCCCCCTGTGAGCCGCCATGTCAGCCTCGAAATGCAGTGTCTCACTCACTGCATTGGCGACATGAGGGTCCAGCAAAATGGAATCATCGACCCTGATCACTCGGTTCATGTGATCGGTGGCTCAGGGGTTCCACTCCGCGGCTTCCACTATCGGCGGAAGGGAAGGGGGAGTCTGCTGCTGCCGTTGTTGTTGCTGTTGTTGTTGTTGCTGCTGTTGCGGAGGAGCAAGGGGGTAACCCACAGCCTCTCCCGCTTTGCTGCTGAGCGGGAGATGCCCTAGATCCTCTGCCGAGGCCATCGTGCCTATGCTTGACCCTTCTCTCCTCCTCTACTTGAGGATCCCAGTCATGCACTTGACCCCGACTGAGAACCCTTTGAGGATGGGGTGGAACTGGTCCCTGCAGATGGGGCACCGCCGGTCGATCCTCGACCCCTCCCGGCAGCAAGAGCTTGCCTCTGCCTTAGGAACCCCAGGTCAATACGAGGCGTGTTGGACATCGCGACCTCGAGGGCATCCTCGGAGTCTAGAGATTGTAGGACTTGGAAGTCTGGCCACAAGTCTCCTCCCGAAGTCCCCACCTCGGCGTCCGAAGGAACAACGTCCTCTCTGACCCCGAGCTCTTCAACAACTCCCTCTACCTCTGTCTCCGAAGCCCGATCAGGGTCTTCCTCCAAGTTTTCCTCGACCTCCTGCCTCGCCGCCTGATCGAAGAGTTCAGACCATCGCGAAGGCTCAAAAGCTGAGGAAGCTGTGAAAATTTCTTATACCCGGGGGTGTAATTCAGCAGGATGTAGGCAGCCCGGCCGAACCCGTTGTCACCAGTAAATCTCCAAACCGTGACTAGGTCGGCAAAGTTCACCAGTGACCGAGGGGGAGGAGCTGTTTCCCGAGCAGTAATATCTGCACAAACAAAAAAGTAGTCATGAACATCGGAAGTCTGGAGAACAAAATAATAAATCCGAAGGAACCGACGTACTTGTCGTTCTCCATTCCAGATGGCATAACAAGCCGTTATACTCGGGACCAACACCTCTCTGCCAAGATCCCTTGAAAATAAGAATATCGTCCTTGTACCCCTTGTCCGAGTCGGGAAGATAAGTTACAAGGTACATGGAGGGGTCCCTGGCTTTGAGGTAGAAGTGTTGGTGAGGCATGACTCTCAAGAGGGCATAACAAAAAAGGAGATCATTCAGCCCGATATTTACCCCGAGGCGCCTATTGAGCTCTAAGACCCCCATAATGATTCTGAAGACATTAAGGCAACACTGCCCGAGGAAGAGGCGGAAGTGAGAGAGGAACTGAAGAAGTAAAGGGGGTAAAGGAAACCTAATTCCTCCCTCTATTATGGCCTTGGTATAAAATGGCATAGCATCCTCGGCCCCGAGGGTAGGAAGGTGCACCACCGAGTCATAATCCTCTATGTCTACGCACGGGGGAATGTCGTACTTGACCTTAAACCTATTAATCTGTTCACCCCGAAGAACCAGCCTGAGGATTCTCGGGAGCAGGGCGACGACGAGGCATCTCTAAGAAAGTGAGAAAGTGGAGGGTGTTTTTTCTTAAAAATCCCTGAGGAAGCTTCCCGAGGATTAGTCGCTAAGTATCAACCGGAGACACCTCCAGTCATCGGAAAACAAAAAGGGATAGGAGGAAGAAAAGAAGAAAGATACTAGAACTCACCCGAATATCAAACGGAGTTTTTTCTGGAAAACTTTAAAGCGACTCCTTCCAGAAAGTTTAGAAGCAACGATGGGTCTGCTGGCCTTAGGACTTTAAGGAAGAATGGGTAGTTGACGAAGGAAGAGGAAAGAGATCTCCGGCGAAGATTCAGGAAAAGGCTCTCTTAAGGAAGTTCGGAATGGCGAAACAAGAAAATAGAAGAGGAGCCCCATTTATATAGTGGCTGTTTCATCATTGGGCGCAAAAAACGAAACGGCGCATTTAATGCACACGACATCCCAAGCCAGGGAAAGCGGCTCGAGGTAATGATGAAGCATTGGTGGTTGTTAGAAAACCCTTCGTCTCCTTACGACGCGTGCCCTCGGTGTCAGAAGATCGAAGGCTGGGGGCAGTTGATGGGACTTTTCTGAAATGCTCCATGATGAAGACACGTGTCCTCGGTATTACCAAAACACTGTTGCTAAGATCAAGCACCATCGGCGCATAAAGGTCCTCGCCCCCGAGGTACTCGTCATATAGGATCATGGCATTCAGTATGTTTTACAACCAACACGTAGCCTCGGTCTGATATGGTACCTCGGTCGGTATCCCCCCCTCGGCTCCGAGATGAGCTTTTCCTCGGTGCCGAGGTGTACCCCGTCCTGGACGCCTCCTCTACTCCAGGATAAGCTATTGACGTACAGGTCATTAGCCTAGGCTAATCTAGGTTATTCATCATGATCTCGTCTTACACAATTAATGTCAGAACGTACTGAAATGCAGGGTCCACAGCCAATGGGGGATGGACGCGTGGCATATGATATCACATCGAAGACAGAGAAACCGCATGCCGTTGCTGACACGCGACTTGGGAAAGCAAACGATTAATTACACCATTCCCTTGATGAGACCGTATTCAATGCGGTAAGGCTCGGAAATAAAAGGCATTAAATGCTCCTAATACAGAGCATTTATTGCATCCTCCCCGAGAGGAGTACATTGTACCGTCGGCATCCCGATGACCCAGCATTGATTGCTCAGGACCCCGAGCAGTTAAGAAGAGAAGACATTCCTCATCAGAATCAGTGCGCACACAACCTGTACCTAATGATCATCTACTGACTACACTGACAGCAATCATGAGCTTTTGAGGTGTAAATACTCCTTGCAAAAGGCAAGACGGGTATGCAACAAAAAACTCTTTACTACAATACACACTCAGTGTTTTCTCCTTCCTCTCTCTTTCTCAAAGACTGACTAGATCGTCGGAGGGGATACGCCGGAAAACACTCCGGCGCCCTTCTAACTTGTTCTTTTTCGTTCCAAGAACCTCTTTCAGCCTTACTGGATCGTTCTTCCGCTCCCCCAGGGTCTCCCGTTGCCGTTCCAGGTTACCATCGGACCTCGCAGGCTGTTCCAAGCAGTGTGGTTGGTCACTCAACCGGCTCACTCGAGTTCACCAAGAGAGAGATCTGTTCTCGTTTTTTATATTGTGCATGATCTTGCACGCACACATGTCTTATAGTTATTACCGAAAATAACTATTTGCATCGATTTTAAAGGGTTTTAAAGAGAAACGTATCACCCAGGCTAAGCTACTTTTCGGTATGGTACCAAAAAATAGCTTGGCGGTATAATAGTGTTACCAAGTCTATAAAGTGCTGACAGTCGGTCAAATAGTAGTCTTCTCTAACGGTGACAAGTGACGAGTGGAAATATTTTACTTTGAATAAAACCAGTTCTCTACTGTACCGAATTTTTTTTTTAAACTGTACCATTGTTATTATATTTGTGAATATTTTACCATTATTATAGTACCAAAAAAAATTATAAAAATAATTACAATAGCAATAAAAATATTCATACATGTAATATATCACTCGTAAAAAGTGATAATTTTTTTTATATCAAAAAAAGTAATAAAAATAATTATCCCTAATAATAAAAACATACACAAAAGTGGAAAAAAAAATTATTATAAACAACCCAAAAAAATTATAAAAACACTCATTAAAATAATAAAATTTAGAGGTACAATACCAAAGTTTTTATTCGGTACCTTAATTACGTCCAGAATAAAACCCATCTGTGGCCGCTAAAGGTGTTCAAATTTTTGATTGATCACAATTTTCTACCCTACTGAGTGGCTAGTCACAAAAATCGAGTAAAAATACAAAAGAATTTTTAGTCTTCTGATTAAATCGAGTAGGAATGCAGAATACTCATCAATTTCTGCATTCCTACCCTACCTTACCCTACCCGCAAAAAAATTATTTTAGTTTTTTATATATTTTTTAGTAATTATAAGAATATTTATGTAATATAATTTATATTATAACATTATTATTGTTGTGAATGTTTGAGCTACTAAAATATAAATTTATTTTTTGTGTAAGTTACATGATTTGTGATTAACTGATGATCTATTGAAATAGTTATGATTTTAATGTGTTTCATATAATTTAAACTAAAATAATTATTATTACATTGGTGTAACAATTATGATGAATTGATGTTCATACTATGATAGATTGATGTTATTACATCTTGTGTTTTATTATAATTGTTATTATAGTTATTTTAAATTTTAATGTTATTAATTTATTGTGCTATTAAATTAGGACATGTTGTTTAATTAAATTAGTAAAATGATCCAAAAATTAATAGATATAAACGTATTTACCCGACTTCCTACCCGATTAATCGAATAGAAAGTCGAATAAGAATACCACGCCTAATCGGATAAAGTAGAATAAAAAAAAATTCTTCTGAAAAGTATTGAATCAGAAGAATTTTTGGAAAATTCCAACTCTTTCTTGGCCTCAATGCTTAGACAATAAAGCGTCGGAAAATTCCAAGAACTTTACAAAAGAGAAAAAATGACAACGAACAAATAAAAAAGGTAACGAGAATGCTTTCATGTAGCACATATTTACATAGGACTACGGTACACTAGTACTACACTTGACTTGAAGTAGAATTTTGTAATTCTCTCTGTACTTTAAATTGCTCTAAATATCCAACTTATGGCATTAAAAATACCGAAGAGAGAAATGAAAAGAATAAAAAAGCCAGAGAAGAATTGTGGGATGCGGCATCATGCATGGCAAAAATTTCTTGGACCTCAACCAGTTCCCTATTCTACAATTCCACACTAGAAGAAGAATTAACCTGCCGCACCTTCAATGTAAATCACAGCCTGAATCAACAGATACGATCGCACGCTCAGCATCGGTGGACTTCGAAGCCTGCAAATACACCAGTGTTCAGCATTGTTATAATCAATAAAAGCATATGCATAACAATAACAATCTTATAAAAGCAGTCAAAAAGGATGAACTTTTGAAATTCAATTAAAGTAACGTATCAAAATGAGAACCACAAAGTTTCAGCAGAAACTATAACATCAACAAGGTCAAGGGTAAAAGCGGCCAAAATATTCTTAAGGAATCTGCCCTTGCATTACAGGGTATAGGTGGTTTGGTTGCAGATTTGGTAGGTTTTTGGGGAATAATTGCCAGTCAAAAATTATCTTTTGATGCCAAACTACCTATTTTTAGGGCATGTAGTATTTGAATCATCATTTATGCATATGATACCAATAACCTGTAAAGGGAAACATGGTCGTACAGTGGAGAAAAAACCTTCAATTTCTCTTCTGTAAAAACTACAAAGTACTACAGCCTAACATGCAGTCTCTCAATGAGATAAAAGTGAGAGAAAACAAAAGGGGACACAGGGTTTTTAACATGTCAAAACAGTACAATAGAAATCCGAGACACTGATCCCTGCAAGAGAATGCAATCTTGCATTATTGAGGATTTACAACCAATTCCAAATTTGGCGTGGAGAAGGAATATATACTACGAATAATATAAAAATGGGATAGCTCTGATGCACATGAGAGGAAGCGGCAATGTGAATTAAACAGTGGCCATGATGTACACAAGCTTTTCAAGAACAAGTTTAACAGTTTCATGATCAAGGATCTTCAATTCATAGCATCTAACAAATTTTAAGTTCATAAAATCGGACAACTTTAGAGCTGTTGCATATAAGCTACATCAAAATACAGTGGAGATGTGTATGTATCTCACTGAATCACTAAACTTGTGTAACTGGTTGTGATGTGCAGCTGTGCATACATGCACATATAACTTAATAGAGAGGCAATTGAACCAAATTCCCATTGTGGCCAAATACTTGGGCATCCTAAGCCCAAGAGAAACATGCATGTCATATGAAACCATAAATTCACAAATGTAATAAGGAGAAATATTATAGCAAAATAGACAGAAGCCCACAGGTTATCGATGTACAGCTGCTGCATTCCAACAGAAAAAGAATTTTCAAGCGAGCAAGATGGCAGAATAACTGCTGCGTGAGTAGTTAAAAATAACCTAAAACGAGTTACGAGTACCATTTTTTAACCAATTAATAGTCTTTCCAAGTACTAATAAAAGCAATAATGCAGGATAGCCGATAATCAGCACAGTCCACAAAAAAACTACCTGGAGACCTCTCCTCAAGATAAGCTAGTGCTTAGAAGTTCAGCTGGAGGGCCAAACGCTTCATCATCAAAATCCTCATTTGTGGAGTTTTCTTGACAAAGAATCTTGATCTCTTGCATGGGATTCAAGCCAAGAGCATTCCATTCCATTGGAGGACCACGATGCATGGCACTTTGTCCAGATCCATGACTGGTCTCATCATTTTCCTCGGCAGGATGCCTACTACCATTATACACAAGCTCTGCTCTCATTTCATCACCCATGAAAGATGGCTCAACATTAAGATCAGAGCTCAAATCAATACCAGTTTGTTCTTCAGGCCCATGATAGGCCACAGTCACTGTTCCCTGGTCAAATGGCTCAGCAGCTTCTTTCTTTGGTCTTTTCCATTTTTTTGTGGAAGAAGTCCCATCATCCTCGAAGTCTTCTTCTTCTCTTTCTCTATGTAAATAAACCCATAATTTCCTCTCCCCATCAAACTGTACACAAGGATCACGTTCATAATGCAAACGATCCAAGGCTCCGCTAACAACTTGATTAACTTGTGCCTCAGAGACTTCTTCCACAATAAATTGTGAGTCTCTTAACAAAGTACAAACATCTGCTCTAGTTCCTATACTTCCAGGCAATCTTGCAGCCGCATCTCTCACTAGACAAAGAATTGTGACATGGGGAGGCCGATCTCGCTTCAACATAAAATGGTCTCGGGCTTTTGATGTTGGTTTACCACCACACCTTCTCAAGGGAGCAACAATAGATTTTCTACCATCAAGAGCTGTGTAAGAGAAGGCCCTATCAGGAATTGAATACCTAAGAATTTCCTCCTTACGGAAATACGATCTCACTTCTTCAGAGCTGGGACTGATGGTGGTGAGACTCTTCTGAGCTCTCAGGTCCCTAAACCTTTCTTTCTCGTCCAAGTTGAACTGCATCAATGTCAAAGGAGGAGCAGGAAGACTTCCTATTTGTCGAAGAGTCTCTAGACCACTTTTCAGCCAATTAGCAAATGCATCCACTAATTTCACAAGCATTTTGTGAGGCAGACCCCAAGCTTCTGGAGATGTCACCTCCTCAACAGCCTCATGATCTGATGAATTATGAGAAACTGGACCGATCCAGGACCAATTTTTCATAGACTTTTCATAGTATGCCAGAGCCTTCCACCCTTTTGCACCTAATGGTGCTGTTTTAGATGAAATTATTTTCAGAACTCCTCTAACCAAATCCTGCAGTGGTTCTTGGGTTTCAAGAATACAAGGATCTCCAGGGTTTGATCTCACACGACTGACAATTTCCTGCACAGTAAGAGAAGGGAGATTCACATGCCCAGAATGGTCTGAGTTATTGTTGTCCAAGTTCTCATGGGAACGAACCCCATTGGTGACCTCCGGCTTCCTATCTTCTTCCTCCCTGAGCTTCTGTCTTCCATCATTCTTATCAACATCTTGGCCAACATCTAAAGAATCCTCTGGAAGTAGAGTAATCATTGCCTTGCGAACGGCTGAAAGAAGATGAATAATGGAGAACGAGAAGCCGGTATGAACTGTAGGTGTGATCAAAGTAAATGGCTTTTTTTGTGGTTTAGTGTGAACTTCTATATCTTCTACAACCATTTCTGTAGAAGGCAGCTCTGAAGCTCCCTTTTCTAACGTACCTATGCCATCCTCCAATTTCTTTTTTCCCCGTTTCTTTGCGGAGGTGGTATCATCATGTTGCTGAGGGATAGAGCATAGGAAATCATTGTCACCTCGCTCATCCATGTATGCCACATCATCCTTCAGTTTCCGCTTCTTGGTCTCAGAGTTGCACCCTAATATATGGGCATCAGATCTTTCACAATGATCATCCACATTCGCTTCAATGAATTGACCTTTCTTCCCCAATCTACCAGCAATTCCATTATTTCCTGCCAATTGATGAGTTCTGATGGAAATGCCATCCACGTCAGCAATGTAATCATGGTAATAGTTTGATGGAGGGTCAGAATACTCACGCCCAACTTCCTGTCTCTGTCTTCTCTCTGCAGGGTACATATCATACATCTTTCCCTTCTGCTTGGCTTTCAAAGAGTAGTTTTCTACTTCTGCCATATGCAGGTGTTCTCCAAAATCACCCCGATTTCTGGAGGAGTGGGATAATCCATCAAGAGTCCGAGTATTATCTCTTTTATCTTTCTTAGCAAATTTAGCCTTCTTAGAATCAGGACCAGATTTCATTGCTGATAAACCACTGGGGAAAACAAATTTGCTCCTCATCAAGGGATTGTCGTCCTCATCTTCATCAATTTGATCAGATGAGTCTGACTCTGTTTCCTCGCTTTTAACAAACGTTCTAAAACCTTTCACCGATGCCATGTCTCGCCCTCCATTCTGCATAGAAGTTGCCCCGACCTTCTCCTGTGATGGCTTTGCCCTATGTTCAGACTGAAATAACCTATCATTAACTTGTAGATCAGGAGACACTCTCCCTATCTTCCACTTCTTGCTCTTAACTTTCCCATCGCTAACTTTGGATAATGGGTCAACAGAGAAATGCTCTCGTTGTGTTTTGTTATGCCAAAGTGGTTCAGTTCCGTTGTATAATTCAATTTGACTTCCTTTCAGAGACAAATTCGGAGCCTGGTTTTTCACAAATTTCATCTGATCATCAACAGCAACTAGCGAAACATTGGTAGGGTAATTGACCATTTTACCATTATCATCAATGATTCTCATAGTAGATGGTTTTGAAGTTAACATCCTGATATCTGACAACTGATTCACATTCTTCTTTCTACCATATGGATGTGAATCATTCTTCAAAGACATAGGCATGCCAATGAAGCCGTCCACATATTCTTCACCTCTCAAACCTTCATGTTTTTTCCCCATTTTAAAAGCCCCAGATTTACCTGTTGCACTGATTCGTGAGAAATTCCGATCTCTCTCAACAGCCACTTCATACATAGTTTCTTCTGCATCATCATAACCTCTGATCTGGTCCCTCACCCGAACTGCGACCCCAGAATCATACCCTGATGCCTTCTTCTCTATGGAAAGTGTTAATGCAGAACCACGAGCACCTGATCTCATATCCATCCCCTGATGAACCGAAGGAAAGCATCCTGCTGCAGTAGACATCTTTGATCCAGCCAACTTCAATGTTCCTTTTGGATTCTTCTTTGCATACTTTGCCGGTTCCATGGCCATTTGTCTAGCTGGACTCGCCCCATATCCAGAATAACGACCCAATTTCTGCCCAAGTTTCTGATCCTTCATTCTTTTTTTGCTCCACAATCCGTCTGCTGACTCTTCTCTTTCAGAAGAGTCACTCTCCATCTCTTCCATATTCTCATACATTAAACTCTTCTGACTCTTCATTATGTTCAACACACGAAGCTTCTCTTCGATGCTATACCCCCTACAGTTAAGCCAAGTACCCCTTATCTGGCAAAAATTAGTGACCATTGAGTTCTGATGCTTCCGCAAAAGATGATAATGCTGTCTCTTCTGAAAGAACTTCAAACCCTGCCTATAAAGGGCAACCCTCGGTTCACATAATCCTCCCTTCAACATTTCGAATAACTTATCAATAGGATTCCCAAAATGAAGATTATCCCCTGTAAAGAGCTCTTTCAATGTCCGCATAAATGCCTCTTGGTCCAAATCCGGAAGGTACTTTGCAAGGTTAAATCTTTCCTCCTTGGACAAAATATCATTCCACACGTCCATAGACAACACATCATTCAAGGATTGAAGATCGTACAATTCAAATGGTATGCTACAAGTTTGATCCCCAACCTGGCAAAACTCTTCCCCAGTTTCCCCTAATTCCAACAAATCAAAATCATCTGATCCTGCCCCAGAATCACAGTCATCGATCATCATCATCATCATCATCAGCCGATTCGATAACTGAGTTCCGCCTCTGAAACTCGTCTTCCTCACTAGACATAGTCTCCCTACTATGAGACGAAAACTCCGAATCCAATCTCGAAACCTTAAAGCTATTCTTTTCAATCGCCATTCAACATAACCCACACAAAATCAACCCAGCCACAATTTCTCCCGATATCACACCTTTCCCACCCAATTTCCAATATTCACAATTCCAATCATAAACCCTAGGGGAAAAAAACCAATAACAAGGATTCAAAATCTAAAAACTTATTTGGAAAAATGCAACATATAAACAAAATATCATATGAGTAAATCCGGGGAAAAAAAACAGCTTTCAACCAATTCTAAGACATGACAAAACTACATATATTTTTGTACACATACATAGACTGCAATTCATCATAAAATTACCTCAATTCCGTGGTTTAGGCTGGAGTTGCAGGACAAGGCTGAAATCTGAGCGGTGATGGAGGAGAGAGAAACCGTTCGCGAAAAGAAGTTGACCCATTTTCTTGAATATTATTACCAAGACTCTGGAAACCCTTAAAGAGGCGTTAGTCATCAATAGACGACAATAGGGTAAGGAAGAAGAAGACGAGGACGTGGTGGGTGCTGGGCCGTCTGATGAGGGTGAGTTGAAAAAGACAAAAAAGGGCACGCAAGTGAGAGATAGAGAAGGGGGGGCGTGTGTGTGTTTTTTTTTGCAGAGGCGTAGAGAGAGAAAGAGGGAGGAGGAGGAGGAGGAGGAGAGAGAAAAAGGGGTTTGTTGTTTGTTGTTGTTGTTGAAGGTGGTGACTCAGCTACTGAGTCGAAACCCTGGTTGCAGGGAAGAAGCGTGATGTGGGTCATTTCTTGGCGATTTGATTTTCGGAATCTCGCGGCCGTCCGATCTGTGACTGCCTGTGATATAATAGACTAGTGCTCGCTTACTTCTCCCTCTTTATACTTCTGCCCCAAAAATAATGACAGTAGATATAAGAATTTGTTTAGGGTCGAGAAAGTGAAAATTATAAAAAGTGGAGCGAAAAAAATATATATATTTTTACACTTGGTTAGTATAAAAAATTTATGAAAAAATCTCAAAAAAAGAGTATTTTATTGTTTAAAAGAAAAAAAAAGTTATAAGAAAATTTTTTAAATTGTTAAAATTACTTTTAATTATATTAAATTAGTTTAAAGAAGAAAAAAATATGTATTATAATTAAAAGTTAAATTTTTTTTAAAAGGTTACTCCTAACCTAATTCGAACAACCATTAGTATGAAGGTCTCTAAGTCAAATTATATTATTAACTAAATTTATAACAAAAATTTTTAAAATTAATAATTAATAAAATATTTTAAGAAAAAAAGATAAAATAAGAAATTAATTATACATCACAACTTTCTTGTATTTCCTTGTATTTTTTACAAAAAAAGAAAATTGGTTAGATGTGAGAAAATCTAAGCATAGAAAAAAGAAAAACTATCATTTTTATTTCATGCTAACCAAACACATAAAAATTTTAAAAAAAATTTCTTTCTTGCATTTTTTACCATAATTCCGCTAAACAAACGAACTCTTAGTTGTCACAGAAAAAATTCATTACCCAGATGGATTAAAAAAGGTTGTAAGAGAAAAAGGCTCTAAATGAAAATTTTTCGGTACCATACCTCGTCACAATCTCAAATAACCATTTGATATCATATCACTTAAATAAAAACCCAATTTTTACGAGCAAGTTTTATACATTGGTTTATATCATACCTCTTTTATGGGATATTGGTTTTTTTAGTATTACTATTAGAAGTGTCCAACCAGGCTATATACACTTTGACTAATTATCTCCCCTATCCAATAAAAGGGATCTCATCCACGCGCGGGACTAGAAAATTCATGAGAGAAAAACCTCATGAATTTATCAAGTTTTGAACTCATAATTTCTAGGTGTAGAACTTATCCATTTCTACACTATGTTACCCCTTGGAGTTCTCATTTTTTATTTTATCTTTTTTTTATTCTAATATTTTTACAATCAATAGTCACAATTAGATCAAAGAAAGATCAATGGCTAAAAAATATATTTCAATAAATTAGTGAAAAATAATTTTTGATACTATATCACTATCGAAAAGGAAAAAAAAATTATCCAACAACGTTATATGATCCAACAATAGACAAGAGGTAAATCCGTACATCTGCGTTCAAATTTTTTAACCATAATAAAATTTAAGTTTAATTGATATAGGTAATTAATGGGGAATTTATATGCATCTAACATTTACATTACAATCATGAATTTAAAATACCTGTGTCAATTTTGCTCGGAAAGAAAGTTGATTAATTTGAAGAACATAAAATACCTTTTTTTTTCTTTTTTTTTGTCATCAATTTTTTAAATCATCACTTTGAAATATATCACCCATTGAGACCATAATATCCCAGATTTTTTTAAGGCATACAAGATGTATATGCAGAGAATAATTTTTATTGACGGGTTTAGAATCACTAATCATGATTTGACAATTGGACTAAAGACACGTGATACTTGGCACATGCCCAAAAAAATTGTTTAGAGCAACTCTATTATGACCGAACTAATAAAAGTTCAACTGATCGTGGGTGTAATTTGGGTGAACAGATTGAATAGAAACCCGATCAGCGAGAAATCAATTAAAAATAGTCTGTGTTAGAAAACATTTATGAGTAGGGAATTGTGTGTCGAACTTAGCCTAGTGAAATATGCTCATAAATAGATACTACGAGACTAGAATTTGAATAAGAGTCTGACTTTGTCGTTTGAAGATTAAGCCCTATTCAAACAAGAACAGATAGTTAGGTTATTCCTATAAATTCGAAAAGATTGACACGATGAAACATAGGCATTAATAAAGAATAAAATTGAGCAGGAAGATAGCTAGACTATACCGGATAACCAGAAGTGGTGAACAAGAAAAAGAAGTCCGCAAAGATTTCTATACGAATTGAGAAAAAAATTAAAACAATTAGTGAGAAAAAAAGAGGGATAAATATCAGAGTTTACATAGAAGTCTTTTGTGTGAATGGTGGTATTATTGGCTCACTAAAATATCCTTGGGTTTCTCCTTAAGTTATATTGAATGGAGATCTCCTTTAATATGTTTTTAACTAATCATTATCTGTACTTAAAGGCATTATAACAAACAAATTTTTTTAAAACAATTGTTCAAATTTAAAAGAAATGACTTAAAAATATTTATACAAATTCTTCTTTTAAAATGACTCAAAATATATTATCGATTATATCCTCCATATTAATGGAACTATCATAAAAATATATAAAAACTCTCCAAAGTAACACCATATATACAAATGCGTATGAAAAAAAAATACTAACATAATGTATTAAAATTTATAATCTTTAAACAATAAACTACTTGGAATAATTGTGAGTAAAAGGAGATACTCAAATTAAGAGTAAAACCCCGTATATATAGGCAAAATATAAAAATCATAGTAAGGGTAAAAAAGGGAAAAGAAATCCTAATAAACCTAGGAAAAGAAATCCTAATAAACCTAGACTATCTATACTCCAACACTCCCCCTCAAGCTAAGCGCAAAAATGTCAACTAAGTCAAGCTTGACAACGGAGTCCCGAAGAATAGACAGAGTGACAGGTTTGGTAAAAACATCCGCAACTTGATCACTGGTCCCCACAAACGATGGAGTAACAAGACCACTGCTGACCTTCTCCCGAAGAAAGTGAACATCGATCTCTATATGCTTCGTTCTCTCATGTAGTACAGAGTCAGAAGCGAGCTGAATAGCAGATTGATTATCACAATATAATGTGGATGGAGAGGTCACTGAAAAACCCAACTCGTCAAGAATCGATCGTAGCCAGATAATCTCACATGTGTCAAGTGCCAATGCCCGATACTCTGCCTCTGCGGACGAGCGGGAGACAACTGCCTGTTTCTTGCTCTTCCAAGAGATAAGATGAGTCCCTCGAAAAGCACAGAAACCCGTAGTAGATCGACCATCACATGCTCCCCCATAATCTGAATCTGAATAACAGGCTAGAGAACCGGTCTGAGATCCTGATGCATAAAACAACCCAAGTCCAGGACAAGACTTGAGGTACCGAAGAATATGATAAACTGCATCAAGATGAGGCTGACATGGCCTATGCATGAACTGACTAACTCGGCTGACTGCGAATGAAATGTCCGGCCTAGTATTGGCTAAGTAGATAAGTCTACCTACCAATCTTTGATAAACTGTCGGATCTTTCAACTCCTCACCGTCAGCAGTAAGCTTCAGGTTTGGAATCATAGGTGATAATGCCGATTTGCACCCCAACATCCCAGTGTCTGAAAGAAGATCCAAAACATACTTTCTCTGAGAAAGAACAATACCTCTGCTTCTACGGGCAACCTCAATCCCAAGAAAGTATCGCAGAAATCCAAGATCCTTCACATCGAAGGCCTTCCCAAGGTCTATCTTGACTTGCGCAGTCCCAGAAACATCATCACCAGTAATAATAATATCATCAACATATACCAGAAGGATGACACATTGTCCAGAAGTATTCCGTCGAATAAAGCAGGTATGATCAGAATGACACCTGGTGAACCCCAATCGTATGACTACATCACTGAAGCGAGAGAACCAGGCTCGTGGCGACTGTTTCAGTCCATAAAGAGACTTACGCAGTCGACATACCTTTCCAGCATACTCCCCCTCACCACGAAAGCCCGGTGGTGCATCCATATAAATAATCTCGTCCAGATCACCGTGAAGAAATGCATTCTTCACATCTAATTGATGAAGAGGCCAAGAGTACTCCGCAGCCAGAGAAATAATTAACCGAACAGTAGTCAATTTTGCCACGGGGGCAAATGTAGCACCAAAATCACGACCTGGTACCTGAGTAAAGCCCTTCGCCACAAGTCTAGCCTTGTAACGATCAATAGTACCATCCGCAAGAAACTTCAGGGTGTAAACCCAGCGACAGCCAACAGGCTTCACCCCTGAAGGTAAGGAGACAAGATTGTATGATTACGCTGAAGAGC